TAAATAAATCTTAAAACTCAAATAACGTTGAGTTATGAATAGTCAGCGACTCTCACAATCAGTGGTCATTAATTTCAAGATGATAGTCTTGTTTTATTTGCAAGAGAATTCTTTGTACCATACAAGCTTCCCTCGAATGCCTGTTGGATCTACTCACTATCAGATCATCAATTGTGTTCAAACAGGTCTGCTACTGTTGACCCACGAATTGTGAGATGTACATTTCTCAAATGAAATATTTCAGCAGCAATTCGGTGAAGAAACAGTAAAATGTTCGTTATTTTGTGCGATTCAAAGCAGATTCCTATTGCCAACAATATCCTACCAGTATTCCTGTTGGATCTACTTTCTCCTGTTTCACGAATGGTCCAACCGCAAACGCCACCAGATAAGTTGACATTCTGAGTGAAGGTGGGAACTGAATTACGCTCCATGCTGAATCAGGTCTGCAAGAGGAGTAGTTGTTTTTTGTTGCGTGGATATTCAATCAGTCTGCATTGCACTTCAAATAACCATAACATATGCGTCATACAGTCCTGTTTGGAATTAACGTTTTAGCATGTGAAGCGATTTAATTGACTCAGGCCCAAAGGGCGTTTTTCTGTTCCATTTCTAGAAACGGGGTTCTTCTCGCACGTCGACGTTTTCTCCCTAACGTCACACTCTTCATAGTTAGAAACCAATTTGAGATACGTTCATTCACTATACTAGCACTGTATGGAATGTCTGGTTCCAGTTTGATTCAGAGGAGCGGACACATTTCAAATGTTTTGGTGACATAAATATTTATGGACTGGTCACTGGTTTAACTCAATACAAGCATAATTCTGACATTAAGCTATCCTGGTGATAACGTTACCAGTGACGATCGGAATGTGCCCTGTTTCGTGATGGACCGTTTGACGTGCATTGCCTGGATGCAGAGAGCAGCATTGAATGTTGGCGACAACAAATGAAATTTGTCTTACGTTTCTTTGCCAAGTGGTACAGGCGTTCGTTCCATAGTGTTTGCGAGTGCAATCAAACCCGACGGATAAATCAACGTGATGTGGAATATCGCCTTGTACGCTGGTTCATCTAGACACGGAAATACCGCGCGAGCTCGTGCCGGTTCCATATGCGTCACAACTATCCAACTGCAACCA